TACCAGTTCCTCAGCTTTAAAATGCTTCTGTTTTAGATAAACTTTGTTATTCTTTTTTATTTCTTATGTATTTCTAATGAAAACAGATGCTGTGTCCCTTTAATATTAATGATTAGAAGAAATACAGACAGTGATGGTATGAAAAACTAAACTAATTATTTGTTTAGTTTGCAAACCATACCACCAAAAAAATTAATAAATGAATAAATAAACTACTGTTATCAGAGTTACTAGAGTGTGTCCATTAGTCAGGGAACCTTAAAAGAAAAGTTTATATGGAGGAGCAAAGGTGACAACATTAGAAAAAATATATATTATGAAATAAATAACTTTAATTGTACCATGTAATAAATAAATGTTTCAATAATGTCCCATTAAATAATTATAGGTAAATGATTAAGTGAACCAATAAAGCACTATAAAATAAATAAATATGATTACTATGAAAAATATAACATGAAATGAAATAAATGTACCATTAAAAAGTCCTGTTAAGTAATTGAATATACTACTTTTCCTTTATTACATCAGAAAATTATGAATTGCAGAAGGAAATAGTAAAATGTGTCACCAAAAAAATTAAGCATACCTTTCAAATGATGACATAATTTTTTTTTTTATTAATTCCAATATTTTATTATTTAACTCTTAATGTTTTATTTGTGCAGCAGCTTTATGAAAATCAATGGGTGAGGTCATGATGGCGTCCTGTCAGATTGGCTGCTTCCTCCTGCTTTTCTTTGACTCTAAGGGTCAATTTTTGCATTTTGAAATGTGGAAATAACTCCAACCTCTATTTCATTTCTTTTTTTTTTTGTAGACTATTAGTGTTTTAATGTTTAAAATAAAGGGAATTAGATTTTATTTAGATTTTTTTGTTTGTTTTTTTTAAAAGCTGACATAGTGCTTTGAAAGATATAAATATATTTATCTTAGTGTCATTTCCTGCTTTCATGTTTGAGTGAAAAAATTTTATTGTGTCCAGTTCTTAAACCATCCATCCATCCATTATCTGACACGCTTGTCCCAAGTGGGGTCACAAGGGGTGCTAGTGTCATGAACTGAAGACAGATGGACCCAGTATTCAAGAAGAGACAGTCAGTAGGAAAGTTCAAACGTCTATTAAATAATAAAACAAAAACTAAAGTGGAGCTGTGGCTCACGGACACTGCAGGATGGGGAGCGGGGCACCGCCCAATCACAGAACTCAACACACGTAAGTGACCACGATCATCTGACAGAAGATGATTATCTGAGTTGGCCACTTACCTGGTTTAACAGTCCAGTCCTAGAATGTCCCAAGTGCTGCAGTTCCAGAGGACATGCTGGAAGCCAATCCTGGTCAGGGATCCAGAACAGACAGGGACCAGATCAAGATCAGGCAGGAACAGAAACAGGTGGCAGGATCAGACTTCCAGGCATCCACAGGCTCCCAGGAGGGTTCAGTCTGACTGGAACC